CCATCAAAATCAGTCAAACGGGAACAGTTTACAGTAGCCAACATTTGCCTTTCTGAGAACAAACTCTCTGTTTCTCCTCATTTGAAGGCAGGTATCTGGCGTCACTTGTGGGGATGTCTGCAGCATTTGCATTTTTGAACACTTTTTTCTCCATCACCGCAATACTTGGCAATATTCTCATCCTAATTGCTCTTAACAAAGTGACTTCGATTCGTCCTCCAACGAAACTTTTGTTTCGATGTCTGGCGGTCACCGATCTTTGTGTTGGACTGATAACGCAACCGCTGTTTATAGTGACGCTTCTTGCCAGCAGCAACGTTCATGAATATGTTGTAGGCATACAGCAGGCTTCTTCTGTAGTTCTTTGTGGAGTCTCCCTCTTGACATCAACTGCAATAAGTGTGGACAGACTTCTTGCGTTGTCGTTGGGTCTGAGATACAGAATTGTTGTTACATTAAGGCGGGTGCGAGCGCTTATTATCTCCTTTTGGGTTCTACTTGTTGCTTTAGCTGGGTGTATCTACATTTTAGACATTTTCTTTATTGTATATGGTGTTGTGATGCTTATTTCTCTTCTTATCTCGGCCATTTCTTACGCTAATATCTATTTCCGTCTCCGTCACCAACTGCTTTATGTACAAGGCCATGTTCACCAACGACAACAACTTCCTCCGAATGGCGTTGTATCGTCTGCACTAAATGTAGAGCGATACAAGAAAACAGTTTCTGTCATATTATGGATACAGCTTGGATTATTTGCTTGCTACTCTCCTGTTTGTGTTTATTTAGTTTCGTGGCATTTTGAAAAGTTTTGGGACACTAATGTGATTGACTATCTCATTTGTTTACTTTTCATTAACTCATCTCTGAACCCCATTCTTTACTGCTGGAAAATCAGGGAGGTGAAAGAGGCAGTAAAGGACACAATTAGACAGTTAAACTGTTGCTGTGAAAAAAATTGAACCTTTGTGTTGTACAAAACAATATAAAACTCTGTGGAAAAAAAAAACAGCTAGACTTAAATACAAATTATGTTCGGAGTACTGAATCGGATCTCTGTATCGAGGTGGCAGTTGTTATTCCTGTGGTCCACAAAAAGTGGCTTTACGCTGGGTGACAACATCCTGTGTTAAAGGAATATTTACTGTCACCATAGGGTGGGACTAAACCATAGGCTCTCTTACAATCAGCGGGACAAAAAATGCTAAAACGGAACTACACCAAGATACTGACCTGTTTTCTAGTTCAAATAAGTTTAAAGATATTGGACACCACTGTACTCTACTGTTCACCG